AATAGACTCACATACGAGAGTAATTCGAAAGATGAAGTTTGCTTGTCAATTATGTCACTATTTATGAATTAAGTAGCATGTTCGTCAGCCACCAATTTTTCCAATCTAAAAAAAAATAACATGCATATAGGATTTGTTTTTCGATCCCTGTTTGTACAATGTATCCGATGCCGGATAAATTTACTGAACAAATTTGCTATTCTTCATTTAGAAAGATTCAAAAATATGTCCAAGGCTTTTCAAAATGGCCTTTAGGTAAACTAGGACGAGATGTCTCGTGTTTTCCAGCAAAGCCTTTTAGGTCCTTAGTAAAAACCTCAGGTAGTCCCGGATTCATGGTGCCTCAACTCAGACATCTGTCCTAAATTTCTATAGCCTAAACACCAAAGCAGGTTTTAATAGGCTCGCGAGGTCAGTAGACCAAAAGTGATGTCACCATCTCATTGATATACTCCACTATTGTGAACATATTCAAATCAGAGGAACACCGCGTAAATTCTTCACAACAAAATAAATATTCTAGGACAAAAGAATAGCAATTTTCAATATATCATACCATCAGAAAATGAGGTGACGAGCTGACACTTATTAATAATTAATTGCTGTATTTTATTGAACGCTTCAAAAGACAGTAAAAAGCTCGCAAATATCCACCCAGAATTAAGACTTAAAACTGTTGTAATAAATTGGCCTGTAATCGTCCTGGATGCATCAATGCTATGGTAATTACAAGTCTAGAGGCACTATGTTAAAGTAGCTCGGTAAAATAGCAGCAACCTTTAACGTCAGGATTTACGAAAACAGCCAATTAGGGATGAATAAATAAAGGTATATAAGCATGCAAGGGCACAATATAAGATTAGAAAACATGGAACAATCAAATATAGATAAATATAAAATAGGTTATACTGAAAAAAATATGTAAATGAAAACAAATTATGACCATGTAGACAAACCGCAAAAATATAGATGGCCTCAAAATTCCTGTGAGTGGATCGGACAAAGCATATGCAACAATGGGCACATTTAGAGATTTACAAAGGGAAGCGAAAACATCATCAGTGCGAGAATGAATGCAAAATAAAGCCCTTTTATCAAGACGTGTTCGCTGCAAATTTATAATAATCAGTCTACTTCGGAGGCCGTCCAGATCAGAAGAAGCACGCTTGGGAAGATGAGCTAAATGAATGGAAATAAAAATAATTCAAGTGTAAAATGCGTTGCAGCCCTTAAAAATTTTGACGTTGGAGAACATAGATATGGTGGCATATAAATAGACCGCACGAGTGAATGTAGGACTTAAGTTATGCAAGTTAGGTTGGACAAATATATAGCGTCCAAGGCATTATCCTCCAACCTAATTTTTTTAAAAAGATAGTACCAAGAGTATCTAGTACCAAAACATAAAAGATTAATATCACAGTAAATAATTAAAAGGTCACAAATGTGAGCGCTAATACTTTGCGTAAAAATG